TAAGTCGTGTTAATTAGACTATTTATTACTCAAGAATAGCTGAAAGTAGGTGAGGAGTTAGCTTAGAATCAGGGGACGGACATAAACTACTTTATATCTTTTTATAAATAAAAAATTTTATTTCGATAATACGCATATATTAAAAATGCATGTAAGAATCATTTGAATATTTTTTTGTAGATATTGCTAGAGTACAGGAATTTTTGTATACATATACATATACATATTTGCTGAAACGTACTACTGCAAAATAACGATACAGTATGACCACAAGCATTTATACATCGTCGGTATGCAACGTCAAGCAACATTGCAAAATGATGAGTTATATAATTTGACGTTACAGAACCATTTAACTTCAAAGTTTAATTTCGCAATAAGCTGTTTTATTTTTGCGAGCGGATAATGATCTTCGCCAGATGATGGGCGAACATTGTATAAATCTACAAGTAACCAATCCTAAGATTTTTACTAATACACACGCAAAAATGTCCCACTTGGTACGGGTTGCCTCGAAAATTCTACTACTAAAATCACACTTGGTACGGGTTGCCTACTTATATTCTACTACTAAAGTCACACTTGGTAGGGTTGCCTACTTCTATTCTAGTACTAAAGTCACACTTGGTACGGGTTGCCAAACAATATTCTGCTACTAAAACGTCCAAATAACACAAATCTGCTATAGTGTGTTGCCGTGTTATGTTTCAAAATTTATGACTTTAAGAATGTTTTTATTACATATTCAAATATTTTTCGGTTGTTTTAATTCCTAAAGATTAAATTTACATAGTATTATTTAAATTATTATTTATTGTATTGAAATAATATTAAATGTTTCCCATTTTATCAAATATATTATTGTGTAACGGTGATTTAGAATATTGTATTTATTACTTAGTAGCTTGTTTTGATTATTGTTATTGGTCCTGAATTGTACCTCATTTTTATACTCTCGCAACCTGTTGCTACAGAGTATAATAGTTTTGTTCACCTAACGGTTGTTTGTATCACCTAAAACTAATCGAGTTAGATATAGGGTTATATATATATAAATGATCAGGACCACTGCCACGCCCACAAAACGCCATTAATCAAAAACAAATAAATTGCCATAACTAAGCTCCGCAATAAGATACAAGGCTGTTATTTGGTGCACAGGATCACATTAGGGAGGGACATCTGCAGTTAAAATTTGTTTTTTAAAAGTGGGCGTGGTCCCGCCTCTAATAGGTTTAATGTGCATATCTCCTAAACCGCTAATGCTATAATAACAAAATTCACTGGCAGCAAATATTTTTAGAACCTCTACCTACAGTGTGAAAATAGTTGAAATCGGGTGGCAACTCCGCCCACTCCCCATATAACGGTACTGTTAAAAACTACTAAAAGCACGATAAATCAAGCACGAAACACGCCAGAGACATTAAATTTTATCTCTGGGATTGTATGAGATGACTTTATAGGAAACGTGTTCAAAATTATACAGTGGGCGTGGCACAGCCCACTCTTAGGTGAAAACCCATATCTTGGGATCTGCTTAACCGATTTCAACCAAATTCGGTGCATTACGTTCTTTTCATATTTCTATGTTATATTGCGAAAATGGGGTAAAACTTTGCGTGAATAATACGTTTAATGTATGCCACCTTGTGACCAAAAACTGTCTAAATCGAACCGAAACTGTTCAAGCCCCTAAGTACTAAATATGTGGACCCCAGTGCCTACAGTTGACCTTCTACCGAAAATATCAGCCAATCCACAAAGAAATCTCAAACGAGTATACCATTTTCCCTTCCTTACTTGTTTATATATATTTTCGTTTTTGTTCAAATCAAGTTGAATATTTCAACTTATATTCTTAATGTTATATTGTTAATGTAATTAATATTCGTGAACCTTAATTATGTACCTCATTTTATGTATATATCTTTTCGAGTCATAATTGTTATGAAAAGTAGATTGTTTTAGAACTGTATATATTATATGGGTGTATATAGGCCTCCTGGGAAACCGAACACCTCAGAAGTGGTGAGGAAAAGCAATAAACATAAAATAATCTTTTGTTTCGAAAATATTCTTGAAAGTTTTCAGTAATATTCTCCATTACAAATGCATGTTCACAAGCAAGTTGTTAAACTACAATACATTCTTTTTATTTACATCTCTGTGTTCAAAAAATGCAGATTCGATCAGGTGATCACGGCTGTTTCACACACATAGGAAAACAGCTGATTCTTTGGTTACTTGTAGGCTTATACAATGTGGGCGAACAACGCACTGGCATTCATAAAAAACAAACGCAATATGTAACATAAAAAATAGCGAAAAGCTAGAGTGTTGAGAAAAAATTCAATCATAATTTGATAAATGCATAATAGCTCACAAAAATTCTCGAAGCATTGCGCAGAAGAATGAAAGATTTAAACGGTAACGGTAAACATTTCGGTGCTGCTGTCTTATTACTGTCTGGTGATTTCCCACAGACTTCCAATGAGATTAACGAATATTTTAAAATTACTATTATGGCAAGGGGTTGAAAGAAACACTTCAATTGCCCATAAATATGCGCGTAAAATTGCGAATTGATTCACCAGCACAAATATATTCCGAACAATTGCTATACATTTCAGGAAATTTGTACAGCTTAAAATTTTATCATACTTCAGGGGCATGTTTATCAACATAATAAAAAAAAATGTTGACAATTGTACCCGCCAAATCGGCGAAATTTTCAAATCCCCGTTATTTTTTGAACACACCTCATATGTCTGAAACATACTTCGTAGCGACTTTTTCTGCTCCTTTGGGTGACATTCATTTGATTAAGTATTTCATTAACTAATATCTTAAAATATTACTTATTGATGAACAATAAGCGTGATACACAAAAGCAAAACAAATGATTTATTACTATCTAGCAATCATTCAGCTTTTCGCCTTTCTAATAACTGTGACCAACTTTGGTCTATTGTAAGAGTTTTATATTATTTGATAAAACTAGCAGCTTGTTAAGAAGAGTTAAATTCTGCTCAAGACGAGCATGAATAGTGTTTGTAGTACAAGTAGATGTGGTTGGCGTCCGATTTTATCTATTTTCGAACTGTATCATGACGATATCATCCAAATGTTGCAAACCAAGCATTGTTTAATCGTTCAAATTTAATATAAAATGTTTGATTGAGAATGATCTAAGAGGCGGCGTTGTTATTGTGCAAGTCTATTTAACAAGGGCATGCAAGGACAGGTTGGCTCACGAATCGTGCCACAAAAACAAACCGTAATTGCTTTTTTTTTGTGTGAGTAATCGACTTTTTTTTGTTTATTTGGCAGGTTATTATTTGAATTTTCTAAAAATGAATGCCTGGGATACTGAAAAGAGGGTTTGGATAGTGCAGCAGTACCACGCTCGTTCCCAACCTATACACTAAACCGTTTCTCATTTCAAATACTTCGCTTTCACCTCGTTCGAGAATGTTGTTTTTTTTTCACAATTTCTTTATCCCTATTTTTAAAAATTAATAAATTCTGCTAGAAAGTATTTTCTTCCAGTACTAATACATTAGAAGTTCTATTTAGTTGATCTAAACTGTAGTCAAAATTTTCTAATGCCCATCTAGGGATTGTTTCTAATTCGAAACTGTGGTATTTGGACCCAGGTTCAGAAGAGCCTTTTGAAAAATAAAATATTGGGTGAAATCTACCGTCTTTTTACTTTTGTAATAATATGGCTCCAAATCCGCGAGCAGTTGCGTCGCAGTGTAGTTCCGTTTCATCCTTAGGGTCATAAATTGGTAGAGTTCATTCATATCTGTACTTTCGAATTTAAAACTGGTGTCTTTCTTTATTAAATTATATAACGGCTGAACTTGAACAGAAAATCCTTTGATGAACCTTCTGAAAAAATACTTTAACTCTGACTTCAGAACTGACATTTGTCAGTTCTCAACTCCAATTTATTTTTAACTAATCTGTCAAATATCATCTTCATGATATCCAAATGCTCGTCCTCGTCGTCCTCGTACTAGTGGCAATCATTATATCATCTAAGTAAATAGCAACTTTACCTTCTCGCATAAGATCCTGATATACGAAGTTTACGAAACGCTGAAAAGTTGATGGGACAATTTTAAGTCCAAATGGCATCCTAAAAACTCAAATTGACCAATCGGCTTCACAAGCGCAGTGTATTTTAAAGAATCCTCATTCATGTTAACATAATAAAAAGCACTCTATCTATCAAGGAAAATATAGTATTATTGGCTAATCTATCCAAAAGATCATCGATTAATGATAGCTGGTAATTATCCTTCTGTGTATTTTTATTCAAAGTTCGATAGTCTATACAAAGTCGTATGGGACTATGAAGAATATTCGGATTAACTTTCCCTAATTACATTTTTCTGCAATAATTAATCTAAAATGGTTTGTACTTTTTTTTTACATCATAGGCTAACCTGCCTGGGGAGCATCGGAAGGGCTTTTCATTATTCAACAGAAATTTAATTTCGCACTTTGTTTCTGGTTCATCGAGGCGTTCGCACTACAAATAATTATTTTTATACAGCATATCAAATGTTGTTATCAATAAAAGAATCTACACTCTTAATGTCAATATTCTTTAGGTTACAACATTCATTTTCATAATCACGTTCATCAGCATTATTCATTACATTTGTTTCTTTTGTTAATGCAAACTTAGCTAGCTTTAGAAGACCTCTTCCCAAAATTATTGGATATGTCATAGTATTATCTGGTGTAACATACATATTTAAGCATATTTCTTTGTGGTCACATATAACAGTACATTTCAATCAACCAATAACTTTAAGTTGACATTTATTTATTTCAAAAAAATTAATTACTGAGCAATGTTGCCAAAGCCAATTCATCAAAATCCCCAAAAATCCTGATCGAATTCCCCAAATTTGGGGATAAAAATCCGTTGATTCCCCACATATTCCCCTCAAAAGTTTTTTATAAAATGAAACAATAATCAATAATTTAAATAATATTTATTGTTTATCTCTTATATTTTTTTCCATATATTAGTCGAAAGCATTTTGTTCGAAGGGTTAAACTTGACACTGCCGCCCAGTTTTTTAATCCCTTCCCTTGTAGCCATTAATGATACTACAGTATCTGTATTCAATCTATTGCGGTTTTCAGTTTTTAAATTTTTAAGGACACTAAATTTGCGCTCGACTGATGCATTTGAAAAAGGCAATATTTGAAATAATGAAATAACAATTTTCATGTTTGAAAACAGGTATTCTCCCTCAGCGTTTTTCATGCAAAACACTTTACCCCAGTAACATTCAGCATCAATGTTATCTCCATGAACTTCAAGCCCATGTTGATGAAAATCCAGCATAGCGTGAACTCGCCACTCATCGTCCAATTTTTGTGCTATCACAAATTTATAAAGCACTGGAAATCGCTCCAGTACAGGCACCAGTGATTTAATTTTAAACTGTTGAGCTTCTAATGGATTTAAAACAGATATAATAGAAAATAAAGGATCTCCGAAATCAAATCGCTTAATAATGTCCGACATAGATTCCATATCAAATTCTTGGCATGTCTTAAAGAAATCTGTAATAGCTGCACGAGGTACATTTTCATCTTTTTTCAAATCTTGCATACTTTCTCCAGCCTGTAATCCAATATATATTTCGTCTAAACCTAGCAAGTGTGTTGGATTTCTGAAGTCAGCATTTAAAATATTAGCACAGGACTTGATGTAGCTCATTCTCATGAAATTAGCAGAGAGTGTTTTCAAAAGATTTTTGTAAAGAAGGGCTGTTTCTGATTGAAACAAGGTGTTGAAGCTTGTTGTTGCCAGTGAAAGTACATAAGACATGAATTCTAAATATACGACAGTGAATTGGTTGTTCATTGTAATGAGCATTTCTTCGGTAGTCTTCGATGGATCAGTGAACACTGTTTCTGTCAAGTAGGCTTTTAATGGAATATATTGCTCTAACACACGGTCTACACACGCTTTCAGGGACAGCCAACGAGTCTGAACTGGCCCGAGAATTTTGTGTATTTCCACTTGAAAGAATTCTTGAAACTCTTTCAATTTTATTTGCCTTTTTGAACTTCTACTGAAGTGCGCTCCAACAGAACGGAAGAAATCTTCAACATTTCGGGGTAATTTGAGGCAAGCTTTCGATGATGATAAGTGTATCATGTGACAGGAGCATTTCACCAGAGCAATGTGAGGTAAATCGGTCTTAACAAGAGCAAAAACGGAATTATGTTCCCCAACCATTACGTTTATGGTGTCTGAACTAAATCCAACCATGTTTTCTATGGGTATGTTTTTATTTAGAAGCATTTGTTTCAAACAGTCATACAGTCCCGCAGCAGTTCCTGATGACACTTCCACCATCTCCAAAAACAAGTGTTTTACCCGATTGGTGTTTTCATCATAGATTACAGCAGTAAAACAGCATTGTTTTAAAGAGCTCTGATCCGTCGTTTCATCCATAATTAATGAGAAGAAATTTTTTTCTGTACGTAATTTTTGATTTATATCTTCTAAAAATGTGTTTCCTAAAACATTCTTAAGTATAGCTGTTGCTTTGGTTCCGTCACTGGCAAGCACGTTGAAAGTTTGGGAACGTTCTTTACTTCTGATACTTTTTTCTTATGGCGTTCTGAATTCATGTCGAATCAAGTCACTTTTATGCGCTAGGATCGACACCGAACAGAGTTTACAATTTGCTAAATCATTTCCATCTCTCATATTCGAATTTTTGCATAACCAGCTTGAGAAGTTTGGTTCGTTAAGCCACAAATCATTAAATTTATTCAAGCGTTTCATTTTTAGGATCTGTGTACTATTTGACTCACTTGTCGTCAAATTTACTGAAGTCAAACTTGAAATTGGAGCGGCATTTCCTTCTGTACTAGAAGTTGACGCCTCCGATAACTCGAGCCCAGATTCTCTTTTACGTTTAAGCTAAAAAAAAAACTTGGTAAATTAACCGGATAAATAACAAAGTTTGGGCGCAGCAAAAACATATATTATATTAGGTTTAATTATCTTACCTTAGGACTATCTTCTTTATTTTTGTTTGGACCTTTAAATAACTATTTTTCCATATTTGCACAAAATCGTATCGTTACTTTGCGACAGAAACAAAACACAACTTTTTAAACTTGGATCTACTAATTAACTACGAACAACAACGAACGAAGCCAATGCATGCATTACATGTTCAATCATCCATTTATCAGTCACAAAACAAAACATTTAATAAAGAAGAAACAGGGAATCCCCTGGTCATAGACAAGACAAGACAGACAACTGACAAACTAGGGATGTGCCATACATAGAGAATCTCTCTCTATTAGAGATGTGCAATTACCGGTATTTAGATTTTTCGTCACGATTATACTTAATGATTTAAAAAAATGTTGTTATCGATAATAAACGATGAAATATTTTCCGATGAGAATATGATGTCAAAATCCCCGCATTTTCCCCACATAATGCCAATCCCCAATAAATCCCCAACCAACTTGAAATTCCCCGCAGTTTGGGGAATTCCCCACAGGTTGGCAACGCTGTTACTGAGTTCCCATTTTCTATATGCCTGTATCAATTAAGGTACCAAGTACAGATTTATATTTATAAATATCTTTAATAAAGCTAAAACGTATATATCTTACATAATCATCGTGATAACCATCACCTTGCTGCTCAATTTGATGTACTGAGACCCCATTCCTTTTTGGTCATTCGGTTGCGTAGTGTCCCATCTGTGCACATACGTTAAACGCTCCTTTGTCACGCTTTGGCTTCCGACACTCATTTGCCAAGTGACCTAGTGAATTGCAGTTAAAACATCTCACTGCTCTGTTGCTGAAGCAGAGAACGTAAATGGACCATCCATTTGCGTTCTCTGGCTGAAGTACTTTCGGCCTAAACAAATACATCACTTGAAATAATTCGAGTAAGCTTTGCTTGTCTTTAAATCGTTGCATTTTTGCTTAAGATTGTAAAGTGTAACTCGGGATCCCCTCAATTAAATGTTCAATGAGGTCAGCGTCATCAATTGATACGTTGTTGGAAAGAATCAATTTGTCGTTAAACTATTCCTGAAATGTTTCAGTTGACTCCCACTTCCTTGCCTCATAATCTCTCATTAGTGTTATACGGCTTGAACGATTTTTAAATAGCTATTTCATTTCAGCAAGCATATTTTTAACACTCATGGACAATATGTCAGACCGGGAATAGAACAACTTCAAAGCTCTGCCTTTCAATTTATTAAAAATAAGCGCAGTCAGGGTGTTGTCATTTATGTTATACACTTTTTGTAGGTTGATTAATTGCACTTTCCAATTTTGAAAGCAATCACCACTGTTTGCAACATCTGACACTAAGTCTTTAATAAACACAAAGTGAATAGGTTTCCACTTTGTTTCATCATCATTTTATTTTCTTTCTGTAAAATTTCATTTTAACGTTTTTGTAGTTCATGTTCTTTTTTTTTGTAGCTCATTTTCTTTTCTTTGTATTTAATTTTTGCGTGCAATTATTTCAAGTTCTTTTTGCAGTAATTGCCACTCGTTAGTACACTGCCCTCGTTATGTTTCTGTTGTTGCTGCTAGCCTGGACCGCTTCTACTAGTGTATCGCTGTCGTTAGCGTGGCCGACTTCGTCGTTATTTTTTAAATTTTCTGGCATTGCTTCTAAGCGCAGCATCAGTTCGTTTTTTTGTGCCGCTTGTTTTTTCGCCAATCTGTCGCCGGCAATGATTTCAGCTGAGCGACTGTGTAATATATTTGAAAATTCACTCTCTGTGGGCATTGCAATCCCACTGCTGATTACTGTATTACTCTTTAGTTTATTTTATTATTTTTGCACAAACAAATAACATCCGTCGACGCTGAATGTCTTACACATGGATAAAATGCTGCGAAACTCCTCTCTTTGCCTTCTGAGAGGGCTCATGAACTTTAAGTGCTGCCAAAGAAACCACGAGTTCATGAGCTACTGAACAGATGACAAGCAAAACAACGAACTACCACTAAGAATTCCGCCGAAAAATTTGTCATATCAGATTTTTAAGTGACTTTTAGGTGTGTTTCTAATCTTTATTTAAAGAGATTTAATATAGTTTTGATTTTAAGAAAGAGCGGGTATTTTTGCTTAGCAGTATCAATTGTCAACGTATACATATATGTACATATTGTGGTTAGAATTCCCAGCAAATGTTATATAAACTTTGACTTCCAAATAAGTGATCAAAAGATATTTATTTATAGAGTGTATAAAAAAGAAGTAAGGTTCATGTTTAGGTTACTTAAAACTTGTAAGTGTTTTGAAATATTAAAATATTTTGTTAAATTTAGTTTTAAAAGTAAATTTTGAAAGTCTTTTGTGTCAAAAATGTGGACTTTACAGCGCTCTCTAGAATAAAAGAGTTTCGGATCATTTTATCCTTGGTCTTACAGCGACTGATAGCACAAACAGTCACCGACATTCTTCCCTTCCGTTTGCCAAATTTGTCAAAAGTTATGCCCGTAGTTGCAACGCAGAAATCAGCTGTTCTCTTTTGTTTTCATTTCACCAATGTTGCCATTGTTCTATTTGTAAACACGATTTTTCACACATTTAGTTTTTTAGTTATAATTTTTCATAATGTAAAAGCTCAAAACTAAAATCCAACTACTAACAAGTAAGGAAGGGCTAAGTTCGGATGTAACCGAACATTTTATACTCTCGCAAAGTCAAATGGTATACTAGTTTGAAATTTCTTTGTGGATTGACTGATATTTTTGGTAGAAGGTCAACTATAGGCACTGGGGTCCACATATTTAGTATTTAGGGGCTTGAACAGTTTTGGTTCGATTTAAACAATTTTTGGTCACAAGGTGGCATACTTTAAACGTATTATTCAGGCAAAGTTTTACAGCGATATAATCATTGTTGCTTGATATGCATAGTGGAAAGTGAAAGAATCAGATGGAATTGAAAATGGTATTATATGGGAAATAGGCGTGGTTGTAGTCCGCTTTCGCCCATTTTCGCACACAGAAATATGAAAAGAACGTTATGCACCGAATTTGGTTGAAATCGGTTAAGCAGATCCCAAGATATGGGTTTTCACATAGAAGTGGGCGGTGCCACTCTGACTAATTTTGAACTAATTGACATATTAATTTTGAACAACTGACTAATTTTGAACGCGGTTCCTATAAAGTCATCTCATACCATCCCGAGATAAAATTTAATGTATCTAACTTGTTTAGTGCTTGGTTTATCGCGCTTTTAGTATTTTTTAACAGTACCGTTATATGGGGAGTGGGCAAGCTTGTCACCCGATTTCACCCATTTTCACACCGTTAGTAGAGGTGCTAAAAACATTTGCTCCCAGTGAATTTGGTTATTATAGCTTTAACGGGTTAGGAGATATGCACATTAAACCTATTAGGGCGGGACCACGCCCACTTTAAAAAAAAATGTAACTGCTGATGCCCCTCCCTAATGTGATCCTGTGTACCAAATAACAGTCTTGTATCTTATTGCGGAGCTTAGTTATGGCAATTTATTTGTTTTTGATTAATGGCGTTTTGTGGGCGTGGTTGTGATCCGATTACGCCCATCTGCAATACCAACCGTCTTACGGTACCAAGAAACATGTGTACCAAGTTTCATGAAGATACCTCAATTTTTACTCAAGTTACAGCTTGCACGGACGGACGGACAGACGGACGGACAGACAGTCACCCGGATTTCAACTGGTCTCTTCATCCTGATCATTTATATATATATATAACCCTATATCTAACTCGAGTAGTTTTAGGTGATACAAACCACCGTTAGGTGAACAAAACTATTATACTCTGTAGGAACAAGTTGCGAGAGTATAAAAATGGTTCACCTATTTATAAATAAATGTCTTCGGCTGTGATTTTCGGTCTGTTAAAGCGGATGGTAGAAGCGGTGGTGACTGTTCATTTACATTACGCTCTCATAAGATAGGTCGTATCAACTCATTCGGTCCACGGTTTTGGGTCGGTGGCGGTTTGTGCCATGAATAATTATTTCTAGGGATTTTTTATTTTCGTTACAGTAGCAATTTTAAAAGATTTTTGTTCTATTCAATTTGTTATTAAATTTTGAATATCGAATCTCGCCTAAAAAAAAAGAAAGAAGTTCCTCTGAAAGGAAAAGAAAGGAATTCTTTTATACTAAGAGTACCTAATAAAAAATTATAAACATACCAGCGTTTTTTTTCTCGGCGCGTCCGGGGCGGTCAAAAATACTAGCACAGCGTGAAACTCGTCACGTTTTCCAAAGTGTGAAACAAAATGACACCTTCCGCAAAATAAAAAAAAAACAGGGCTTTATGGTCAAGTCGTAAACAAGAACTCAATCATATCGCTAGTCACTTAAATAAGCCCCGTAAGTTTTGCCAGAAAGTTATTTTATCCAATGAGCGCATGTTTTGCGTCTTTGAAATAAAGGCGCGAAAAATTTTATTGCGAAAAACGGCACGTCAATCAATAAGGAAATCTTGATGCATACTGCGAAGAACAGTGGTTAAGAAGTAATGATATGGGGTGCATAGCTAGTAAATGTGTGGGCCAAATCGAATTAATAGAGTCCACCATTGTTAAATATGCATCACTCAATATCTTAAAAAGCAAAGAGCGGTAGAATTTGGTCTTGGAAGCGGTTCCTATTTTCAACAGGATAACGACCCGAAGCATACAGCAGACATAGTTAAGCTTAATTACTCTCCAACGTTTCCAAGCAGCTGAAAACACCACCAGCATCACCAGATTTTAATCCTTAATAGCGCCTATGAGATTTAAGGGTACGTAAAATCCGCCAACGCACAATTACATCAAATCTCACATCCCTTCGACAGAAACCTCTAAGCTTGTATATTCCATGCCAAAACCCGTAGCGGACGTATAAAACGTTGGGAATACTTTCTAGTAAATTTGAAGAAGAATTCGTAGGAAGAGTAAATTTATTTGACCTATGTACCTTGTACGCAGACTGATTCTAATGGATTTTCTATTCGTTTGTATGTTTTGTTTAGTTTATACATATGTTACTGTCGGCTATTTAATCACTTTTATTTTCATAAAACTACATATTTAATGTCCTTTAATGAATATCAAACAAATCGGTGTTTATAAAAAATATATACTTGTACAATACATTTATTTTTTCCAATAATTTATTTTTGTTGTACGCAGACTTCTTCTGCCGTTTACGGCCGATTTGTGGTTGCGATTATTTCCCACTTTTAATTGTGTGTTGCAACACTAAATTCTGTTACAATTAAATTTTTAGCGCAATTAGTTGTTACAAATAAAACGGTAAGTTCCCGATGACCAAAAGTAGTTATTTAATTACATTCAATCAC